GCGCGTATGCGGGCTGGGACGAAGGCCGCGTCCCTCCTTGGCAGTTTGATGGTCTCGTCGTGCCACCCTGTGGCGACAGATGGAAAGGCACTCCGTGTGCGAGGAGTCTTAGAACGGCAGTCTTGCTACTTCCTCTTACCCTTCTCCCTTTCCCACTACTCAGATGAAGAGCTGGGGACCCACTGGTCCATCCTACAAATATTTGTTGCACAGGCACTCTTCCTGATGCTGGGGATATGGCAACAGATTTTTTTTAAATCCATTCTTCCATGGAGCTTACCGTCTGGTAAAGAGGAACACACACAGATAGGTAACTTATTTGTGTGATTGTAGTAAGTGATATAGAGAAAAATGAAGCCAGGAGAGGAGGCATGTTGGAGGACTGGGTGGACAGCAGGAGACTTGGACATTGCAGGGTCAGGTCGTGATGGGCCTTGGGGATGACCAGAAGGATTTGGGCTTTTACTCTGGGTGAGATGGGGAGTCACTTGAAGGAATAAGTAGAAGGATGATATAATGAAATTTAGGTCCCACGTGACCATCCTGGGTGCTGTTTGGGAGTGCACTACACAGAGGAGTCCACAGAGGTGGCAAGATGCTGTTGTGATCACGGAGAGAGAGATGATGGTGGCTGAGACAGGGTGGTAGTGGTGGAGGCGGTGAAAGTGGTTTGTTTCCAAATCAGTTTTGGAGATAGAATCCACAGATGGGATGGATGGGGGCTGGGAGAAAGAGAAGAGTTGGGAATGGCTCCAGGGTTTTTGGCCTGAGTAACTGAGGTGCGATCACTGAGCTGGGAAAACTTGATGGAGAAGATTTGCGGAGGAACAGCAGAAGCTCTGGAAGAGACACCTATTGGATATGCAGGTGGAAATGTGGATAGGGAAGGAGTTACATGAATCTGAAGTGAAAGGATTCAGCCTAGAGTTAGAAGCCATAGGGAATATTTAAGCCATGATGAGCCTGAATATACTGTCACATAGGAAGAGAGTAGATACAGAAGTTGGAAAACTGAGCTCTTTATTTAGAAGTTGGGGCAAAGAACATAAGCAAGGAGATGGAGCAGGCAGGAATGGTGAGTGAGGAAGAAAACCAGGAGAGGTGGCAGCTGAATGCCCAGTGAAGAAAGGAGCAGCTGCATCCGCAAGCCCCGCTCTAGGTTAAGGTCAAAGGAAGACAGAATCAACCACTGACGTGGCAGCGTGGAGGCCCCTGGCGAGTGTAGTCTCGAGTGGAGTGGCAGGACAGAGTCTGACTGCAGTGGGTTTAAGTGAGAACGGCAGGAAGAATTGGAGAGAGCAAATGTGGCCCAGAGAAAGGGCTTCACCAGTGATCAGGTAATGCGTCAACAGCAAAGCCTGGACTGGAACCTTTGCCTCCTGAGTCTCGGGCCAGGCTCCTGTGGGCACACAGAGGTTAGGATGCCATTCTCACTCTTGAGAGCTTCATGGCCCACAGGGACTCCCCACAGTGGCACATTCTAAGCAGGAAAGCTGTGAGTCTAGCTAAGAAATGCCGTTACTCTAGGCTGGAGCTGGGAAGGGGGCCCGGTGTGGGTTCCCCTTCTTGAAATCTTTAACATGATGCCCCCTTCCAGGCAGTTCTTCCTCTGGCTGCTCAAAAGGTTTTCTATCCCATCTGCTCCAGGACACAAGTCAGAATGAGCATTAAGTTTGGTCTGATTTCTGCTATTCTCAGTTTAACCTGTAAGGCCAGTACAGGATCTACATACTTGTTGAGACGCCCTTTTCCAGTACTGTCCCAGAGGCCTGGTTAGAGCAGAGGAGCCTGGGAGAACAGTAATAGGTACCCTCTTAATTCTTAATTAAGGCTGGCTGAGTGGAAGACCCATTGCTATGAGATAATGAGAGGGCCAGAGGACAGGCTTGCTAGAGTAGAATGAGTAGGCCAGCCCTGGGCACCTCATGAACTCTGGGAGGGTAGAGTCCACTGTCAAGTTGGCCATCACAGGGAAGCCCCAACTCAGGCCCTGGATATACAGAGGTGTGCCTGAGAAGGCAGAGGAGGTGAGGGCTTTGTGCCCTGAGAAGCTCTGCACACTCAGTAGGACCATGGTTCATCCTGAGAACTCCAGGAGGGCAGTGGTCTGCTGGGCTGACGTGCATTTGGTCTCTAGCACTCAGCCCAGCCAGGCCTGGCAACTCCTAGGGCAGTGCCCTGGCCCAGCTCTAAGAAGGCCAGCCTGTGGAGAGGCATCAGAGTGGTGTCTGGAAAACAGACACCCTTGGGGTGACCTGGGCCCTAGTCCCAACCGGGGCTGCTCTCTGCTTACGGGGGTTCTCAAATGGCTTTCTTCTCACCTGCAGACCTGCCCACTAGCCCTGTGGACCTGGTCATCAACTGCCTGGATTGCCCCGAGAATGTCTTCCTGCGAGATCAGCCCTGGTACAAGGCAGCTGTGGCTTGGGCCAACCAGAACCGGGCACCAGTACTCAGCATAGACCCTCCGGTGCATGAAGTTGAACAGGGCATTGATGCCAAATGGTCACTGGCACTGGGCCTGCCTCTGCCACTGGGGGAGCACGCAGGCCGTATCTATCTGTGCGACATTGGCATTCCCCAGCAGGTCTTCCAGGAGGTGGGCATCAACTACCACTCGCCCTTTGGCTGCAAGTTTGTCATCCCACTGCACTCTGCCTAGAGGGTTCCTGCACAGGCAGGACTCTGCCGTCCCCTGTTGCTCCTGAGGACAAACGCCTTAAGGATTTGAAGCTTCATGGACCTTGTTGTTAAAAGTTTTTCTCTCTTGGGTTTGTTTCTTCTGTGAGAGAACAGAACTTACTTAAAACTGACCTGTCACTTGCCCTGAGCCAGGGAAGTCTTTCCCACTGGGTTCCGGGCACACGGCAGGCAGAGTGTGCAGCAGCTCCAGGCATCTCTACCCTCAGCCCCCTGCACGCCAGGCGGGCCTTTGTTTACAGACATAGGCAGCTCGCAGACCGTGTTTCCGGTTTACAGCCACTGGGCCTGGGCACACGCATTGAGGAGTGGGCCGGGTCCTGTTTGGGGGCCTGTACCTGCTCTTATTTCAGAGCTTGTGGCTTTGTGTCTCCCCGGCTTTCCCCACGCAGACGGCCCCTCCTCTAATCACGTAGAACCAGCTGCCCGGCAGCTGTCCAGCAGAGGGCAGACCTGCGCTCTCCATTCATTTCCAGGGCTGTGACAGACCGGGCCTTCCCCTACCCACATCAGAAGTTGATCTGGGGGCTTCTGGCCCTTTCTCCTGAGCTGATACAAGTTTTATGCTGATTTTTCCAAGGATTCCTCCCTCCTTTCCCCTCCATCACTCAGAGGTAGGGAAGGGGCGGCATTAGGATGGTGTTTCTGTGTTGGGATTTTATGTTGTCCTGTCATCTTCAGCACAGGTCGTGTATTACTGTAGAACCACAGTGCCCATCTTGCCAGCAGTGCCCGCCCCCCCCCCCCAAAGCTGAGCAGGCCGAGACTTTGCCTAGTCTGGGGCCAGACCCCTCAGATGGGGGGGATATCCCTGGGGGAGCCTGGTGCTGAGCCAGAAGAGGCTTCCTGGTGCTTCTGTCCTAGGCCACCACTCCCCCACCCCTTTGCCTGCACATACATGTTCCACCCACTCTTGTCCCCTCTGCCCTTCCCCTGAAATGGTCCTTTGCAGCTGTCATCCCAGAGCAGGGTGCATGGGCTCCCTTGCTTGGACTCCACCCGGCTCTTAAAACATCTGGGCTTTGAACCCTTTACAGTTGTCCAGTCTAGATGAGTAGGCTTGAGGCCAGCACCCTGTCTCAAAGATCGCAAAATGAGGCCAGTTCTGGATGAGCTAGCTGGTGTGGGGTCCAACCATAGGAACCTCAGATCCTAAGGCACTGAGCCCCAGGGCCTTCCCAGGCCTAGGCCCTGGAAGCTAGTGGAACAGGAGCTTTACCTGGAACCCTGGCAGGGATCCCTGCCAAGGACTTGTGCTTAAGCCTGCTTTGGGGCTTTGGGCTTCTGCTATGTTTGCCCAGAGTGGCTGAGCAGATAGATGGGTGGACAGGGGCTCACCAAGGATTGTGGACACAGGGTAGGCCCTGGTGCCATAGGTGTCAGGCTGCTATCACGTTTCTTGTAGGAGCATAGCCAGAAGCAGATGAGCCAGGGTAGAAAGCTGGCCCCTCCTCTCATCTTCCCACCAGTGTTAAATTGTCTCCAGCGGTGGGAAGAGGCCAGGGACTGTAAGCCTCGTGCTGTGTATTGGAGCCTCTGCTCACTCTCAGGGCTAAGCAGCTCCCAGGCTGGGGCCCTCTCTTTAGAGGCAGGGCCACAATCTGAGGCGCAGTCTAGGTTACAGGCACAGGCAGGTTCTGGCTGCCTGTTAATACAGTTAGGCCTCCCGAGTAGGAACAGTGAGAAACAAGCTACAACGACCCTGGCCCAGGAGACTGCTCGCTCTCTCCAGCAAGATCCAGGAATGCCAGCCTTGAGGGGGCACTGGGACTTGTCCCTTCCCTTATCCTCAGCCTGGGCCTTCCACGGAGGTATTGAAGAGAAGCATGATTCCTGGCTTCTTTTCAGGGGCATCCTGCCTATAGTACCCAGTTCCAAGGAGCCCCCAGTCACGTGGTGAAGCCTAGCACTCATGCAGCTCTTAGGTGACCAAAAACCAGCACTAAAATAAAGCTGAATGACTGAGTCCTGTGCCGTGTGAATTGCTCTGTAGCTGTCATGAGGTGCTGCCTGCCCCAGCCTAGGAACCCGCCCTACCTGCCTCCTGCCCTCAGCAGACCACAGTTGTTGGGCACATACAGCCTAAAGTCCCGGCCAGTAATGGGGCTGGCAGGCTACAGAAAGCCAGACCCCACCTGGCTAGCCGCAGTGGGCAGAGTCCCTTGGGTTCTTTGGGGCTGAGAGGTGCCACCATCTAGGACTGCTCAGCAGACAGGGCCCAGAGGCCGTCCCCGCTTCTGGTCTTACCCCTGCCTGGCTCTTCTGTGCCTGGCCCAGTTCACACTTAGCTCTCCACAAGCTGAAGTGCTAAGACAGACTTTATTAGTCAGGTCAGGGGAGGGGAAGGCAAGGAGCCTGGAGATGGACACACTGGTACCAGGGGTTACAAACAGTAAGAAACACTTTATTATAACTTTACAACATATAAATAGCTTGGGTCAAATCTGTGCTTTCTGGCAGCTGGGCACCAAGTCTGCTCCTCTGCAGGCTCCTGCCTTCCTTCACATTGCACTGTTCATTGGGTGGCTCTGGCCTGGGGCCTGGTGGTCGAGGCTGGAGTCAAGGGGCTGGGCGGCCCAGTCCCGCCCTCCATCTCCTCATGCGGTGGCCTGCACCTGTCATCTGCTTGGGTTGCGGCTGGTGTGGAAGGACCGCTCCTCGGGGGTCAGGCCAGCAAAGAAGGGGTGCAGCAGGGCCTCGGCCAGTGTGATGCGCTGGGCAGGGTCAAATTCTAACATCCTCCTCATCAGGTCAAACAGCTGCACGTGCTCCAGGGAGTCTTGGAGCATGTAACTCTGCTCAGGGACACAAGGTGCCTCAGTGTGACGGCAGGGTCGTGGGAAGCCACAGCAGGTCCCCTTGTCTCTGGGATGCCTTGCTGGACTGGATCGAGGAGGCAGTGATGCCTCCTTGGAGGACTCTACTTCCGCCCTCCTGGACAGTGAGCAGCTCCTTTGCTTTCACGCCCGTGTTTAACGTTTTGCTCGGAACTTGCCAGGCTACTAGGCGTCTTGCTGGGTTGATGCCTCTGCCCCCACATGCAAAGTCCTGACAGGTGGGTAGAGATCACCTCTGCGAAATTCACTTGTCCGAGCACCAAATGCAGTTGACAGAGGCTTCCTGGCCATGTCTAGGTCTTCCCGCCCCCTCACCTCCGTCCTGCCTAGTTCTTCCCAAAATGCTGAGAGAGGGTGAGAGGGACAGGAAGCAGCAGGGTTTCTGACATCTGGCTCTTCTCGTGTTCCCCCGTTAAATTCATAGCCACCCTATGGGGAAGGGGTAGGGCTAAGGGCCCCTCTGGAGCAGTTTGCAAGAAGCCTCACTGCCAGCACCCAGCAGCCTTGGGTGTCGCCTCCCACAGAGCTGCATCGAGGACGCGGCCTTTAGCGGCCCAGCCTGTCTGATGTGTGTCTGCCCAGTGCCTGGGGTCTCTCCTTGGGATGAGTTGAGCTGGGGAAGCCAGAAACTGACCTTCAGAGGTTTGCAGTTCTCCTTCACATACCGGCCGTCGGAGCTGTTCTCATCCCAAACTAGGCCCCCTTTGTAGAAATATTTCTGCTTCCTGAAAATGAAGGTGGTGGGGTCCAGTAGTGAGAGTAGTAAGGGGACAAGCCTCTGGGGGCGGGTGGGGAAGAGCAGCTCCCAACACAGCAGCAGAATCAGGGCAACAGGTTTGCAGGGGCACAGGGAAGACTTAGGAGCCTGGGGAGCCATGGACTGTCCCTCAAAGACTCACCACATCTAGTACCCTGCTGATCCACAGCCCAAAAGAGAAAGGCCCCTATGCCAACCCCGAGGGGGCTACTGAGGTCCTTACCTGGTACGGTGGATCATGTGTGATGGGATGGGCCCTAGGATCTTCTCCATCATCACCAGATGCTCTCGGTTTTCGTGGGTCTGTGGAAGATCAGACAGTGCAAGCAGGGTCAGTCCTAGTTCTGGCCCCTTCACTGGGAATAAGAAACGAGAGATGGGCAAGTGCCCTCACTGCCCCAGGAGATGCAAACCTACCAAAGAAACGGCAGCCTGGCAGCCCATGCCCTGTCCCAGCCCATCCCAATGCCTTTATTCATCTGGACCCCTTATCTAGAAGGTCAGGTCACCTGCCCCATCCTCCATCCTCGATGGCCTAGCGCAAGACTCCTGAGTGTTCCGGCTACCCTGACCTCTGCATACCCTTTAGCATCTACATCCTTAAGAGTCTGAATCTCACAACATGACCAGTGGGAGGAGGAAGACACCTGTCTTCTCGTCCACATGGGGCTTCCCACCCCAGTGGCCTGCAGCCTGTCACAGTAGCAGTGCTTAGGATAGGGGAGTGACGTGGGGTAGCTGTACCTGAAAGAGTGTGAAGCCCCGGTAGTACTCAAAGAGAATGCAGCCGATGCTCCAGACGTCACAGGGCTGTGCCCAGCCCAGCTCTGAAAGCCAAGATGGGGAGAGGCTGTGAGATCGGGCCCTGTCCTTCCAGCCTGGAGGTCACAGGGCAACCACTACACTGGCTGGCAGGACTCTTGCCCAAATCCCAGTACAAGGCCCTCTCTCACTAAGGCTGACAGATCAGGCCAGGTCAGTCACCTGTGTCTCATGACACGGGCCCCTTGATCTGAGAAACTGCCTGCCCTGGGTGGTGGAGACTGACAGGCATGCCACCACCTGTGGTGGTTCAAACCCTTCCACCAAGTCCAGTGTGACAAGGCCACAGGCCATACAGTCACTCACCAAGGATCACCTCAGGCGGGCGATAGTGACGGGTGGCCACAATGGTGGTGTGATGTTCATGGTCAAAGGTGGCACTGCCAAAGTCAGCCACTCGGATGCTGGTGTTCTTCACTGACTTCTCCTCACAGCTCTGAAAGGCAAGGCAGGCACACCAGGTCAGGAGTCTGTACCAGCGGGTAACCCACCCCAGAGCAGGGCCTCACCCTTACCCATGCCAATACCTTGTGCTCATTGTAGAGGGTTTCAAACTCAGAATTTACAAACAGGATATTCTCTGGCTTCAAGTCTGTGTGGGTCAGCTGATTCTCATGCAGAACTAAGAGAGCAGGGAAAGAACGAGAAGTGGGCACTGAGAACCTGGCTCTCCTGCCAGCTCTAGGCCAGAACCCTTCTCCAATGCCAGCAACTGCCAGAGCTCCTCACACCCCCACCTCAGCCGGGAGCTGGACTGCAACCTGCCTCTCTGCTGGCCTCCCAATCAAGGGTTCTCTGCACTTGAGGCCTTGCGGGGTTCTGATACTTTAGCAGGGGGGTGGAAAAGAAACTTGCCATTCGGAAAAACCTCCTCCACCCCTCCTCTGCAGAGACCAGGCCTCCTCACCTGTCTCTCACCAAAGCCACAGCAACAGCCTCGAGGGGCTTCCCTCTTCCCAGCACCAGCTAAATATACAGCCCCTTGTTCAAGTTACTAAGAATGTTACGGTGGTAGCAAGAGGGCATTAAAGCACAGGCTCCCGTGCAACGGAGCACGCAGGTCACACACCCAGGAAGCCAGCCCCACCTCTCACTGCTAGTCATGAAGTAGGAAGCCTTTCTCCTCCAGCCCGTCCCACTGACAGTGGCTTCCTGCTAGTAGTCACTCTTCAGCTCGAGGCTCCCATCTGGCACTCAAGACCCTCACAACTGTGTGGCCCACCACTCCCCAAGGGAAACCTACTCCACTGGAACCAATTCTCAACCCACACCAGGCTCCAGGCCTCACCAGGCTATTCCCCTTGTTTGGAAAGCTTGTCCCTGTCACATCTATGCAGATCCTGCACATTCTGGCTCAAGGTCTATCAACTTCACCAAAGAGCCTTTCTGTACTGCTCCAGCCATTGCAAGTCCTACAGCACTGAGCCCTGGCACCACCAAATCATGCTTTTCAAGGCTGGCAGGCAGATGACGAGTCAGGGCTAAACAGAGAGTCTCCGTGTGGGCAGGACCTGTGGTAGGATCTGTAAGATCAGGTGTCTACTTTTTTTTTTTTTGAGATGGAGTTTCGCTCTTGTTGCCCAGGCTGGAGTACAATGGCATGAAGGCTTACCGCAACCTCTGCCTCCCATGTTCAAGCGCTTCTCCTGCCTCAGCTTTCCAAGCAGCTGGGATTACAAGCATGCACCACCCTGCCTGGCTAATTTTGTATTTTTAGTAGGGACTGGGTTTCTCCATGTTGGTCAGGGTGGTCTTGAACTTCCGACCTCAGGTGATCCACCTACCTCGGCCTCCCAAAGTGCTGGGATTACAGGTGTGACCCACCGCACCCGGCCCAGGCTTCTACATTTTTATCCCATGTATGAAGCGGGGAGTCGGGGTTGGTGGTCAGGCCAATTCCAGAGCAGTTCTTTTCTGTTTAGTTCCTGAGTGCCTAGGGTAGAGGCTGGTCCAGGAAGTCCCTGGAAGGAGCCCTAACCTTTCCATCCTAACACTGAGATTCCCACCTTAAGACAGAAGACCTTTCCATCCTAACACTCAGATTCCCACCTTAAGACAGAAGGCCTTTCCATCAAAGGGGCTCTGGTGTCCCTCAGGCCCAGGAGAATGGTTACTAATGTGCTGGAATGAATGGGGACAGCAAGTAACCAGATGACTTGGGTGCAGGCGTGTGGCCGCCCCATGCTCCTTTCGAGGGTGGACACTTACATCTAAGGGCGTGGCAGAGCTGGTAGGCCATGTGCCGGACATGTGGTAGGGGGTAAGGCTGGAAGTTATTCTCCTTCAGGAACTCAAAGGTGTTCTTGCCCAGGAGCTCAAAGGCGATGCACATGTGACCATGGAAGTTGAACCAGTCAGACATCAAGACGCACAGGCTGGCGGAGAAGCATGGGCGGGGCTCAGGCTGTGTGCTGGGGGCCTGCCTCACCCCCTCTCAGATGAAGCCAGTCCCCAAGTCTCTCCTAGGCCACTGGGTCACACACAAGAACGCAGGTACACACGAAGCAAAAGAATCAGAGCAAGAGCACCTCTCCCCACCAGCCATCACCCAATCCCCAGATGAGCTCTGGGCAAAGACTAAACTTCCTGTGGGGAAGATGTCCAAGGTGCTGATCCAAGCCCTCTGAGCTCCCCTACTTATGATGTGGGAGAGGCCCTGCCTCAGAGCTGCTGAGGAAGAGTCGGAGAGTGCTGGCACACAGGACTGGTGCTGCTTTTCTCGACTTGCCCACTCTGCTGAGCTTTGTGAGGGTCTGTGCTGCATTCACCCACCTGCCCAGGCTCAGCACAGAGCGTGGAGAGTGCTCAGTGTGTCTGCCACAGAAAGGCTCTCCTTTGGGTGTCTCCTACCATGTGAGAGCCCCAAATAGCTTCATGATTTTATCTTGTCTTATGCCCCACACAACCCAGTGAGGTCCCCAATTCACAAATGCAGGGCTTGGGGTGCCTGCCTCAGGACACAGAGCCAGCTGGGGTGGAGCCTGGACTGCAGTCCAGAGGCTGCCAGCAAGACCTCTGCCAGACTCCCCTGGCTTGCGTGTGGGGAGAAAGCACAGTGCAGACGGGTGACGGGGCACTGCTGAGCCCCTGGGGGTCCGGCAGTCCCACTCAAGGCTTCCCTCCCGCTCCTTGCAGACACTCACAACTTGTTTTCTTTGTCCTTCTCCTTGATTTTTTTGAGCACGTTGATTTCTAGCCGGGCAGCTTCCCGGTACTTGCCCACGTTGCGGATGATCTTCAGGGCAACCTGAGACTTCCCTCTGGTACCCAGGAAGGAAACACAGGTTCTCATCAGCAGCTGCCCAGCCCTTCCCCCACCCTCCGCCCGGACCTGGCAACTCCCAACAAACACCTCTCCAGGAGCAGCCTGCACTGGAGAGAGCAAATACTGATGCCCAGCCTGCCCCATGCAACACCAGACCTTTGCCCACCCAACAGCAAGTTCCCTGGCATCTGTGAGTTAATGCTCTTGATATCCATGCCAGCCTTAGGCTTTTATGTTCTCAGCCACTGCCAGCTCCCAAAGGAGTGTGGGAGAGTAAAGGCCAATCCTGCTTAACCAGTGCCAGTCCAAGAGCTCACACAGTGACCTAACCTGTAAGCCAGGCAGCCCCAACCATGGCCAAGCTGTCCCACCCAGAGCCCTCCTGCGGCACCTCTTGACCTTCCTGGGCTTGTCTGCAAGTCTGAGCAAACAGGGATAGGCGGTTCCAGGATCGAGTAAAGATCTGGCAAGAGGTGGGGTACCAGCAAGGGTACCTCTCACTGTGAGGCCCAGGGCCACTCCCTTATCATACCCCTCTCCAGTTGTACCTACCTGCCACAGCGTTTATCAGTGACCACAAAATGTCAGGAACCCTTCTTAAGTGTCCAAAGAAGATTTTAACAGTCCCTGCTCTGTGCTTCCCACCCTGAACCCCGCCCCAGGAGGCCATCTGCGGAGAGGCAGCAGAGAAGGAAACCTGCTGAGGCAAGGCTGCCAGGCCCTGTCAGGCAAGGACACCTGGAATCCAAATGCCCAGTGGAGAACGGGAGTGAGAGAGCCCTAGCCTGGAAGGGCGTGTCCTCTGAGGCCTCAGGGAGGCTGACTGTGGTGCCTAAGAAAAGGTTCACAGGCCCAGGGCAAAGGGACCTTCTAGAGAATCCCCTGCTTTGCTCTCCCTATCCCATTTTCCCAGATTCTCAGGGAAGGAAGGGAGCTCAAGGGAAAGGCCATGCACTCCAGCCTCCTCCTAAAACAAGGTCCCTCTGTGGCATTCCAATCCTCAGCACAGGGAGCTCATCACTTCCAAGGCAGCCCCTGCCAGAGTTGTATGGCTCTCAGAATATGACCCTGCCTTTAGCCGAGCTGAATTCTGCCTCCACATGACAAATCCCACTGGCCCTGGCTCCGAGTCCCGTAAAGGTTCCCTGGACCTTCCACCTCCCTCCTCGTGACTCCAGAAGCTCATGTTCCCTCCAGCTCCTCAGAGAGGAGCAGCCCAGACCGCCTGCATGCGTCCCAGCTCTCAAGTCTGCCATGCCTCCACCTGGCCACGGTGTGGCTGTACATGTCCCTCCACCCGCTGGTCCCAACCCTAACCTCTTGGGCCACACTGAGTCGTACAGCCGTGTACATGGGAACGTGGAGCAAATGGAAGCTTCCTGTCAGTCTATCTTGTGGCCGAGAGGAAGGCTGGACGCCTGGGTCTGAATGGCCTTTCTGAGCACTCCATTTAATGTGGGGGCACTATGAGGCAGCGGTGGCCAGCTCTGCCATTAATTGGAGTATGATGCAGCCAAACCCTGAGGATGTTTATTAATCTCTGAAATAGCAGGAAGGCCAAATATGGGTGGCACGTGGCTACAATAAAGACATGCGTACTCTGTAGCTAAAGTGCCAAACCAATTAAAGGGCCTATGGCAGGGAGGCAACTGGCTGCCCGGAGGGGGCCTCCCCACCCCAGAGCTACAGGGGAGGAAGCAAAAGGGAAAGTTCTAGTCTTGTGGAATGGTAAGGGGACAAAACTGTGCTGCTGGACCTGGGAGAGAGTAAGGTGCCCCAGCAGCACGACAGTGTATACCCCTCTCTCGGCACAGGGAGCGGAGACCACACACTACCCTAGCCACACTGAAGAAGGCAGCAGCCTGCTTGGTGAGAAAGCCCAGGGTCTTGTTTTTCTTTCAACAGATCTGCACAGCCTCTCAGGCAGACCCTCAGGATAGGACTCATGCTTGGACTGGGCTTAGTGGCACTCCTAGCCCCCTGCCAGGCCAGGAACCCAAATGTTATCACAGGAAGCAGCTCCAAGCCACAGGGGAGCCAGGGCCTTGGCCCTGTCCTGATATCCACCACCAGAGCCCTGGGGAAGTGGAGGGATTGGGGCAGAACCATTCGTTGACCAGCAATTCTTAGGTAGGAATGCCACATGCCTGCAGAACCCAAGAATTTCTCCCTTATTACAGGGGATCAGCAAAACCCCAAAATGAACAGGTCAGAACCCTACTCTGGTGCCATGCTTCAGAAAGAAAAAAGTTAAGCTCTGATAGCCACCACCCTCAAGAACCTCAGGCCAGCTCTTCCCAGGAAGGTCCTATCCAGAGCCAGCTGTACCGCCCCGTTCACTTACCTGGCATGGTCCAAGCACTCCACCACCTTGCCAAAGGTGCCTTCACCCAGGTTCCCCACAATCTCATCTAGGAGAGAAAAGAAATTGGGCATGAGAATCTGGAGGGCAGGGGGTTGGCAGCTCCTGCAAGTTCACAGCATTCAAATTCTCAAAAACAAAAAAGGTTTCTCTCTCACTGCTACACTCTTAAAAATGGACGTTGCTAGCGTCTGTGTCATTCAGGCAATTACTGGTGGCCCCGCTAAGGCACCACGCGCACTAGAGGCCCCTCCAGGCAGGAGAGGTCTTGTCTAACAAGGGGGGTAGAAAGTAGAGAGGTAAAGTTTTACGAAAGGTGGCTGTACATCGCTCTTGGAGCCAATCGCCGATCCGGCACACCAGGTGACCCTCCTTGTCATCTTCCACACTCCGGCTGCTGCGCTTACTGCTCTGTTGGCTTCTCTGCATGCACCGCCCCCCGAAACGCCATCCGACCAATCGCATGGTAGGCGGTTCCGATTGACAGATTGAGGTGTCAGTCAAAGGCAGAGGTGGAGACGGTGAGGAGCCGGTGGGTTGGTTGGTTGGATTTTCCAGATCCCAGCATTTCATAAGGCACACAGCATATATAACGATAGGGATATTGCAAGGCACACGTCAAGACACAAACTGACTTCAAAAACAGAAAAGTAAAAACAGCTACAGGTATGTAAAGAAAACTCGGATATTATCTCTACGAGGAGTGCCACGAACGCTCAGGAAGATGACCTGCCTCTGCTGCTGAGGGCCACGCTGTGAGGAGAGCCATCGCCCCGACTCCCTCCTCCTCCTCTGAGTCTCTCCCTCCCAGGCCCTCCCATGTGGCTTTGGCCAGAGCGGAAGACGCAGCGAGAACGGCGCAAGAAGGCAGCTGGCCCGGCCTGGGTCCAACCATCCAGACTGGTCAGAGGCTGCTCCGGCTTCAGCTGCAGAATGCCCAGCCTGTCCTTGCCTGCCTCTGTTCGCCCACGCAGCCTTGTACATGCCTGACAGTTGCCACTCAAGAGCCAAGCTGCTACCTACCCCCAGACGGCATCCTTGGCCAGACTTCACCATCACTACCAGAAACAGCCTTCCATCAGCAGCCTTCCTGCCACCAGCCTCAAGCAGGAAAGCAGCCTGGGATCCTCTGAGTAGCTCGACTGCCAGGCTTCCTACCACAATGGCCCACACAGGCCCCATGCCAGCTCCTGCCCTGGCCTTGGCGCCCATGCTGCTCACAATCTAGGCCCATCCCAAGCCTCACGACGATCGATAGAGGGCACCAAAAAGAGAAGCAGAGCCAAACCTGCACTGCCATCCTGTGGCAGCATGTGGCAGAGTGCAGAGAGGCCAAAGGGCCACGCTGCAATCGCCCAGAGTCAGCCCTCGACGCATGGCCACTCAAAGAAGTCACAGAAAGAGCTGGGCAGAGAAGATGCCTGGCCTCTCCACCACTCCTCAGGGGCCTCAAGGCCGGTAGGAGGGAGGCAGGGAAGAGGGATCGGGGAGAAGAGAAGACCGCATGTAACCTTGGAAATACACAGTGGGCTTTCCTTCCCCAGGGTACTGAACGCAGTGTGGGCTCCTGGTCTCAGCAGAGACCTTGCAACCCTCTGTGCTAGGAATACTAGCCAGGCCCTACTCTCAGGATGTGGCCTGCAACAGGACAAGGCCTGGGGCGGCGGCCTTTCTGGCATTTCTTCACATGCCCCATCACACAGGCAGTTGCCCCTCCTCGCCGCAGCTGCCGCTCCTCGCCGAAAGTGCCCCTCATAAAGAGGCTCGGCTGGAGAGGGCCTGGCTGGAGATTAGAAGGAAAGTTCCCAGTCTGAGCTGGCTGACAGGCAAATCCTCCCCGCCTGTGGGGCACTCCAGAGTGGGGGCCTTTGGGGAGGGGCGTGCAGATGAGACGCAGAGGTGGGTGCAGTCCACGTCAGTCAGAACACTCGGTCACACGAGGAGGCCGTCTGTGAGTGGGAAGGACCAGGCCATATAGCTGCAGACCACAATACCAGCCACTCCACTAGGATTCCTAAGAAGTGTCCTAAGAAGTGTCCCTGGCCACTTGCACCACGTGGCCTGTATCTGGAGCACTGTGTAGACATAGACTGGCCGGGGGCCAGCCAGCATCGGAGCCAGAGTTCCTAGAGTTGCCACTGGAAGGGGCCAGAAGACACAGGGGCCAGGACCACTGTGATCAGCCCTGCACCTGGACCAGACGACACATACACACACACAAGCACGCACACCAGTGCACGTGCACAGGGCTGGCAGTACTCACCCAGACCAACCAGCCTGAGAGAAGTCTAGGAAGAGATGAGGCCTTTAAGCCCCAGCCAGCACACTCTGGCTACCACTCACCGAGGAGGCGCTGCTACAAGACCTGGTGCGGCGTTTGTGGCAGTGGTGGGCGTGCTTGCGGGTCCGGTACGGCCCCCTCTCCCGCGATCGCCGACGATGACGAGAACGTGAAGATCCATAGTAGTCCTCTCCAAAGGATGGGCTCCGCTCTTCACACCGGTATGTATCACTGTCACGGCGCTCCCGGTACCTCCTCTGGTAGGGCAGGCGGTCGTGGCTGCCAAAAGGGGGATGGGGACACTGGTCAGCTGGGTCTTTGTTGTTAGCAGGCAAGAGGCTGGTGGCAGGGCCACTGTAAAGGGCTCAAGGGGACAGGCTGTGCCAAAAGCATCCAGACTAGTGGGAAGTGGGCAGAGAGGGGAGGGTGCAAAGGTACTAAGCCTGCCCTCCAGAGCCCCATCCAATGGCAGTATCCTCCAGATACAGGAGGAGGGGCCGGGGAAGGGGAGTATGGTAGAGGGCCTCCCAGCATTCTACACACTCCAGAGTTCTCCATGGCTGGCTGCAACTCTTCAGTTTGGACTGGGGGCTGAGATAGGCCCAGGGAGCTACCTTTCTAAGGCTGAGGTTATGTTCCTAAATCCTCACCAAAGAAGGCTTAGGAGGTTAAGCAGGAAGATGCTGGCCTAGAAAATGGGGGAATGTGTAGGGAGAAGAAAAAAAGGCACTCTAAGACAAAGAGTGGGCGGCAGCTACTGATGAGGGCAAGGCATGCAGGTAAGGTGAGGGGAGGAGCCCAAAGAGGACAGGGCAGGGACCCAGGAACAGCTGGGCAGGGGTGGAGTAATCTCAAGGAGTCTGGAGCTGCCACAGCTGAGTCCGGCTGACAGAAGGAGCCTTTCCCTCCTATCTAGTTCCCTCTCACCTTCTAGACCGAGATCTCCGTGGGGGAGGCTCCCTTCGGGATGGGTATCGCAGTCTCCCTTCATGTTCCCGACTGTAGGACCTCCTCCTCTTCCATCGGTAGCTCAGGTACGGGTCTGGTTCAGGGGAGCGGTATCGCTTACAGTGATGCATCTAGGCCGCAAGGAACAGAAGGCCCTGCTAAACACACAGCCAGCCACCTCCAGCCATGGAGCTGCATGGGCCTTCCTGGTTGCTCCTGAACAGCCCATTCTTCTGTTTGGAGGCAGCCCCTCCCAGAGGTTTATGAAGTGAAGAACTCTTGAGGTCACACTGGTCAAACAGCAGACAATGGGCAACAACCTTCTCTGCCAGTGAACAAACAAACAGCTGCCTCCCAGCAGAGCATCGCTGGCCTGGTGGTCTGAGTGCTCAGGGAACTGGGTGAGCCAGGGCCAGGGGCTAAGGCAGGAACCCTGGGCTGGACAGTGAACACTACCACAAGGAGATCAAAGGCAGGAGAAGGGGGCCTCCTGTGCTCTATTCCCTCCCGCGTGGGGCACCCGTGGATCGAATGCTTTGTAAAGCCAGAGGACAGGCAAAGGGCTGTTGGCATGGAGCCAACACCCGGGAGGCAAGGATTCAAAGCCCTCAGGTTTGAGAAGCTGAAGACGTCTGGCTGAGGGCCTGAACTGGACCCCACTCAAGGGAGTAAGGACCACAAGTCAATGTGAGGAGCCACAGCAGAAATGAGAAGGGCAGCCCTTGAAGAAAGAGGTACACAGGCCTCATGAACATTCCGTAGCCCTCCTGAGTCGATGTGGACCCAGGGGGTCTGTCCAGCCCTTCCTGGCTCATCCTGGGTCTCAGCACTGGGAAAGATGCCAGGGTCCTCAGAGTATCCAACTTTCTTGCCAGAGAGCCATTTAGCACCCTTTAGACTCTGGCAGTGCCCTGCCAGGTGCCTTGCCTTTATCCAACAGTACCATTACTGTCCCTTCTTCTAGCTCCCCGGCTCCAGTATCCTACTTTACACCTATCCCAAGAGCAGCCAGAGGGTTAGCTGTCTGGCAGGCATAAGAGCCCCAACTCACTATCCCCGTTCAGTGAGGACTCATATTCACCACAGGAAATTGCCAGGCTGGATCCGCCACCAGCGGAGAAAGCTGGCTATGTGAGGCCAGCAACCTGCTCCACCCATATGTGAACCCCTGACTGCCTCCATGGGGCCGGCCTTCTTCCCAATACTTACACTTGGCCACAGCCAACCTCCAGTCATGGTCAGTCCTGACTTTGCCTGGTCAAGCACATTTTGCACACATCTTCCCCATCTACCTGGGAAGTCTTTGAAGCTAAAATCACCTCCCCAGAAGCTCAGATTTGTTGTTTTGGTAATCAGCTGACTAATGTTTCACTGTTTTCCTGCAATTACTCTGGGTCAGCTGCCCAAGCTATGGAGTGAAAGCTTAACTCACATCTCACCAATTGACCCAAGGATGCTCCACTGGCCAGGGCACATGTCCTGCCACAAGCTTGGCAAGCATGGTCCTGCCCATCCTCAATGGACAGACACCAGAGCTGAAGGACATGGTCACGGTCACACTGGGCCAAAGACTCCCTCCTGGGACCTAGAAAGTTCTAATGTCTATACATATTCACGTCAATGGAGAGCACAATTTCAGAGTCACATAGATGTCCATCTGAATCATGGCATGCCACTTCTAGCTGTGTGCCTTTCAGCAAATTATGACACTATTCTGACCATCAGCTTCCTCTGGCAACAAGGAAATAGTAATCTCTTACAATGTTCTGTGAGGACTGTCCTATAACTGAAATGCCTAGTACAGCTTTATGCCCACAGAGGTACTAGTGGCAGCTTTTCATGAACACTTAAAAGGTTCCAGGTAACACTTCAGGACTGTGTTAAATGCCTTACGGACATTTTATAAGTCCCTTCCAAGGAAACCGGGAGGAGAGGGCTCTGGCAATACTCTTGAACTAAAACCTAGGGCTGCCACATACCAGCCTCGTGACCTTAGACAAGTCACTCTAGGCCTCGGTTGGAATGCCTGGAAAATGGAGATAACATCTCCCAGCCTGGCAAAAGATGACAAGTATGAGAATTATAAGGTACCACACCCAAAGCAATAATAGAGAAGATTATCCTTCCTTTAACACATTCTAGGCAAGTAAAATATTGGAAATAGCAGGCGTCAACCTCTCAGCCAGGGCTTTAGGGCCCATTTCTCAATTATCTCTGATTCTCCAAAACCTCAGCAAAAAGCTTGTTGAAAAAGCAGCTAAAGGCCACAATTATGCTTTGGGAAGCTCTGCTCTGCACAATGAAGAAAAAAGTGAGGCAGAGGAAACCAAGCCAAGGATGTCAACTTTTGAGCACAGGCCTTGTCACCTTCTCATCTGCTGTTCCTGGCCAGAGAACTGGGCTGACAAGACGAGCAGCCAGCCAGGTCAGCGGCTGCCCTCCCGGATTCCGGCCACCCCAGCACCCATGGTTATTTTTGGCTGGCACTGCCCTACCACTGCAACCTCAAACCTGCCACCTCGCAAGCCTCCACCACGAACGGGTGAAACGCTCCTCCTTCTCAAGGGCATCAAGGAGGGAAGCTGGAAGGCCGCCAACGCCGCCTCGATGGGGGCCTGGTTCAGGCAATTTCCACCCCAGCTCCACATCAGGGCACTCACACCCGGAACTGAAGCCAGAGACTCCCGGGCGGGACGGAGGTGCACCCAAGGGATTCGCACTGTCAGCCCGGCCCGGCCCATCCCCCGGGCTGGAACGGCTCCGTCACCGCCACAAAACACGCTCGGGGGCCTGCGCCCTCGTTCGCTTCTCTTCCTGCCGCCCCAGGTCCCAGGGGTCTCAGAGTCCCACCCTCTGTAACGGCCGCCAGTGGCGCCGAGGGGAGAGCCGGGGACAGGCCCGGGGGCAGAGGGAGGCCCAGACTGGGCCAGAATCAAACTCCAGGCCGCCAAGGGAGGAGGCGTCCGAAGACCCGGCGTGAAGCCAAGCGAGGGGAAGGGTCTGCAGGGCCTCTCTGGCTACTGCACGTCGGACCCCGACCTCCTCCCGCGGGCAGGCGCAGGGCCCCCGCTGAACCCTTACGGAGCCTCAGAGGCCGTTTAGGCCCCGCCTTCAACACCGCGGGACCCGGGTCAGGGTCTGCAGTGACCGCCCTCCTCCGGTGGAGCAGCCGCGGGTCAGGGGTGAGAGGTCGGGGCCGCGGCCCGCGGTGGGCCGAAGAGGAGAAACAAAGGGAGGAGGCGGAGACCGAATGGCACCGGCGCGCCCGCCCCGCCGACTCACCCCCAGCCGCCGCCGCCGCCGCTGCTGCCGCCGCGGGCCCCAGCCCACACTTACCGTCTCCCAGGCTCCAGCTGCTGCTAGGCCCCACTCCCCGCTCCGAGCGCCTCTTCCGCTTCCGGCTCCGACCTCCGCCCGTGGCGGCCCCGCCCCCTCGCGTGACGCAGCCGTCGCCTTCGCGGGCTCGACCCGGCTCGGAGGCCTGGCCGCTCTAGCCTCCGACTCGACGGCTCCGGGGCACCAGCCCTCTCCGCTCCGGTGGGCGCCGCGGCCTCGGAGACTGGTTCCGGAAGGGCCGAGGGGACGGGCGCGGTGCGGCCCGCCTCCCGCCGTGTCGCGGCGCACGTAGGTCCCCCGACCTGACAGGTGCGCGGCCCGGGTCACAGAGGCGCTCGCAGCTGAGAAGTAGGGCCCCGACCCGGCCGCGGGGCTCGGTCGGCTCCGCCGCGCCGACCCCGCGTGGTCCGCCAACTCCCTCCTGCGCGCGGAGAGGACGGACATTGTTCTCGGGGCCCGGGAGAGCGTGAGAGCCCCCTGAGGTCTGCGCGCGGGGCCTCGGCAAAGCGGACGCGACTCCGCTTGCGCGAAACAAGCGAGCGACTCATGAGTGTCTCTCGGTGCGTGCCGGTGTCGAGAAGGCCGCGGCGGCGCGCCCCGCACTTTCTGGGGAGACGCCCGAGAGCCGCTCGGGCGGAGCCTGTCGGAGGGGCCGGGGACTGGGGGAAGGAGCTGCCCTCTCCTCGAGCCCCCTGGGGCGGAGCGGCCTCCCGCCAGCCTGCGCGGCCGCTCAGTTCAGACCCCCCGCGGGCCCCGTCTCCGGGTCACTGGGCAGCCCCCTTCTGCAGAGGCCTCCAGCGTGGGGTCACCAAGCCCCGGACACCTGTCGGCCCGCACCGGGGTGGGAGGATCGGGAGGCCCCGCTTTCCAGATGAGAAAACCGAGGTGGGGATCTTTGGAGAGACCTGAGTGTGAGCGTGCGCGCCCCGCCCAGTCTCGGGGTGACGCCTCCGTCCCCGGCCTCCCGAACGTCGCGCAGCAAAGCGACAGGGCGTGGCGCCTAATTGTCCCCACGCCACGCCAGGGCTAGAAACGCGCAGCCGGGGCGGACCCACCCTGCAGGCACCGCCCCGTCCTCAGGACCGCTGGGCGGGGCTCCGAGGGTTTCCCCAGCACCGCCCCCGCGCCCGCGCCCGCGCCCGCGCCGCGGCCCCGACCATACACCCTCCCCACGGGGCTGGGCCCCCCACGGACGCGGAGGGCTGTCGCAGGGGAGCCCCCTGCCCGAGCCGCGGCTGCGCCTCGAGTCCGACGCCGGCTGCTCGCCGTGAAACGGGGTCTCACGGCGTGACTTTTGGGGGTGTCTAGTATCCCCCAAATCTCCGCCAGCTCCACCAGGCTACCCTAAGTAAACAGAAGCTAATTCACCACTGGGTCCCTTCCCCAGAATGACAACCATCAGCCGGACGTGGCGGCGCGTGCAGAGGAATAGCAGGAGGGGGATGTTTCCGTGGTGGCGGAGCAGTTCTGTGTCTTGATTGTAGCGGTGGTTAAAGGGGTCTACGCCTGTGATAAAATGGCACAGACCTAGGCGCCTGATACTGTTTGATCGTGTTCCACACTTACACAACATAGAACCTTTGGAGGAAACCTACTGACGAGTACTTGAACCCTCTCTGTCCCATCTTTGAAATTTCCTGTGAATCTGTACTTCCAAATAAAAGGTTAATACTTTTAAAGTTGGCTGGGCTCGGTGGCTCAAGCCTGTAATCCCAGCACTTTGGGAGGCCGAGGCGGGTGGATCACGAGGTCAAGAGATCGATACCATCCTGGTCAACATGGTGAAACCCCGTCTCTACTAAAAATACAAAAAAATTAGCTGGGCGTGGTGGCGCGTGCCTGTAATCCCAGCTACGCAGGAGGCTGAGGCAGGAGAATTGCCTGAACCCAGGAGGCGGAGGTTGCGGTGAGCCGAGATCGCGCCATTGCACTCCAGCCTGGGTAACAAGAGCAAAACTCCGTCTCAAAAAAAAAAAAAAAAAAAAAAAAAATTAAAGTTGTTTTAGACGAAAATATGAATAATATTGATTGCATGCAGGTCTGGCGACACCTCTGGCACACTGAACGACTGGCATCTCTAATCCATCCCATGCAGGATTGCCCCTGGCCGGGCCCTGTCCTAGGCTAGGGCGCCCGCCGGAACACAGGACTCGGGACTCTCTCCTGCTTGGCTTTGAGGCAGAGATGGCAGATATAATATAGGCTGCCCAGTGAAATTTAGATTCTGATAACAGATGGATAATTTTTTAGTAAGTATGTACCGTGCATGTTTAGGACATACTTATCCTGAAAATTATTTCTCAATTCTTTCTTCGCCGTCTTCACAGGTGTTGATATTTCAGTTCTTTCATGTATGTGTATGGTTACTGTAAAGCTGCTACTTTAATGGAAACAACACACCAAAGCCTGTAGGATACAACAAAAGCAGCACTAAGACGGAAGTTTATGGCTGTAAACACCTACTTTTGAAAGGTAGAAAAACATAAACAACCTAACAACACATATTAAAGAAACAGAAGAGCAAGAGCAAACCAAACCCAAAATTAGCAGAAGAAAAGCAATAATAAAGAGCAGAGCAGAAATAAATGGAATTGGAATGAAGACAGCAATTCAAAGCATCAAGGAAATAAAAAGTTTGTTTTTTGAAAAGGTAAACAACATTGACAAACTTTTAGCCTAAGACTAAGAAAAACACAGGGAAGGCCCAAGTAAATAAAATCAAAGGTGAAAAAGGAAACTTTACAAGTGATACGACATTCAGAGGAGCAGTAGTGGCTGTAATAAGCAACAATATGCAGAGACATTGGAAACCTACTAAACATGGATCAATTTCTAGACCTTTAAAAATGGCCTAGATCGATTTAAGCCTACCAAGATTGGACCACGATGAAATCCAAAACAAACCAGTGACAAATAATGAGATCGAAGCACTAATAAAAAGCCTCCCAGCAAAGAAAAGCCTGGGACCTCATGGCTTCTCTGCTGAATTCCACCAAGTATTTAAAGAACGAATATCAATTTTACCCAGACTAAGCCAAAAATAGACAAGGATGGAACACTTCCAAACTCATTCTACAAGGCTAGTATTACCCTGATACCAAAACCAAAGATACATCCAAAAATCAATCCTACAGGCCAAAATCACTGATGAATATTGTTGCAAAAATCTTAGACAAAGTATTAGCAAATTGAATTCAACCACACATTCCAGTTGGGGCGCACTGTCCCAGGTTCACTGCACCCTTCCCGGTTTCCTCTCTGTGCCTGTCTGCTTTGGCGGTGCCCCCTGGCGGCAGCGGTGGCAGTGTTGGTGTGTGGGCCTCCCAGGACAAGGGGAAAGCGACTGTGCCCGTCTCTTGCCTCCTGCCAGGTGTCTGCAGCCTGGCAGCAGCTCCAGCCAGTCTTCAAGCAAGGGACCGGCAGTTGGTCTTTTCCAATTTCTGGATTGGGGAATTGAGGCAAATTCTGGGCATTAGAGTCAGAATTAGGCGAGGCTGAATCAGGGGAGTCTGGGGTCCTGAGAGGAGAGAACTGAAACCCTCTAGAGCCTGTGGGGAGCTGGGTGGGTGTTCAGGCCGGTTGCTTCTCTCTGTGCCTGAATGCTCCAGGTACCCTTGCAGGGGCTGAGATCCTGGGGACTCCTGGAGCCTGGCTGCATGGCCTGGCCACCCTGATGCCCTTGTGTTCTCCATGACAGGCCAGCAAGGCCGAGGAGAATGGCTCCAACAGCTTTGTGGGCTCCATGGACCCACAGCTGGAGCGGCAAGTGGAGACAACCCAGAGCCTGGTGGACTCCTACACGGCCACTGTCAACAAGACGGTGCGGGACCTCATGGTGGTCTCATGCCCAAGATCACCATGCACCTCAAGATCAACAACGTGTATGCACCGCCTCATGGGGGCAGGGGGCTCCTGTGACCCTGGGGATGCAGGTGGCCATGTTGGCCTGCGGGAGATGCCGACCAGCCCTATGGGACCAGGTCCAGGGAGGGAGGCATGGTCTAGACCAGAGCTGTCCCATAGAGATATAGCATGGGACTGTGCACAGTGGCCCATGCCTATAATCCCAGCACTATGAGAGGCCAAAGCAGGAGTATCGCTTGAGCCCAGGAGTTTGAGACTAGCCTGGGCAACATAGTGAGATTTGGTGTCTACACAAAAATTTTAAAAATAGCTAAGCTTGGTGGTGGCACATTCCTGTAGTCCTAGCTACTCGACAGGCTGACTTTGGAGGATCGCTTTGAGCCCAGGAGGTTGAAGCTGCAATGAGCAGTGATCTCGCCCACTGTACTCCAGCCTGGAGACAGAGCCAGATCCTATCTCCACAAAAAAACTTTAAAACACTGAGTAGCCAGGTGTCCTGGTGGCATGACAGGTCCTAGGTCCCCTGCCAGATCTATAACCTTGGGCAGGTGACTTTCCCTCTGGGCCTCACTGTCCCTCTCTGAGTGAGAAAAGGCAGTGAGAGGCAGATCTTTCGGTCTAAGTGGTGGAGAAGCCGCGTCTGAAAGCTCCAAGTCCAGCACACAGTCCCAGCAGGTCCCAGCGTGGCGGCCAGGCATCAGGTCCCAACCTCCTTCCCTCTTTGCCCACTCTCAGACCAAGGAGCTCATCTCAGAGCTGCTGGCCAACCGGTACTTGCGGGAAGGCCAGAAAAGCTGATGGAGGAGCCGGCGGAGCAGGCACAGCGGGCTGAGATGCTGTGCATGCGCCACATGCTGAAGGAGCCGCTCAGCCTCATCAGCGACATCAACACCACCACCGTCGGCACGCCCACAGGGGCCCAGGGACGACTCCCGGCTGCAGGTGCAGAACGTCCCAGCTGGAGGCAGGTACCAGGGCCGGCCCCCACGGCCTTAAAGCCCCCAGCCTTCATGGCTGAGCCTGGGTGGGGCTCTTGGAACAGGCTCCATGCCCAAGCTGGCAGATGTGAGTGCTCTCCGGAGCTGTCAGAGAGGGCAGAGAGCTCATGGTGCACGGTTAGGGGCTGGGAGCTTGAGGGGTTTGTGTGTGTGTGTGTGTGCAGCTGGACTCTGAGGCAGCCAGAGGCCTAGGAACGTCATCCTGGGCCCTCCATGACTGTCGTGCAATGTGAGTCATGCCACCAGCCAGGGCATCCTGCTCCCAGCCTGGGAGTGCCGAGAGCCAAATCCACTGCAGAGCAGGGGTGATAGTCAGGGTCCCTACTCCTCTGTCTGTCGGCAATCCAGTGGTGATCTAGGGTAAAAGCTCGAGAGTCCCATACACACGGTCATCCTATCACACACCTCACAGGCCAGGCAGGACACCCAACCCCCTCCACTCCCTCCCAGGTACTATCATAGCTGCTAGTGTGTGATTGAAGGCAGGGTCCCTGGCCCCACTGAAGCACTACCACCAGCCAGCGGGCTCACCGCCTATGCTATTCAACCAGGGGACCACAGTGCCTGCTGATCTAGCTGAGCTCCGCCCAGTAAGTCCGGCTACCCCCAATCTACCTACCCCCCACATCCCCACCCACCGCCACAGACTCTCCCTCTTCTGCTTTTCCCGAAGGAAGGGCCCAGCCTCACCTATGAGACCTGCAGTCCCCCAAACAGCTGAGGCTCCCCACTTACACTTATAAGTCTGTGGTTAGTGACATCCGACTGCTTGGCCTCCCTGTCTCCCCCAGGGTCCCTTCAGAGGGTCCTGGGCTTTCTGACCACCCAGAGGGGCCTCGGGCGCTCCCTCCAGCCATCCAGCCCTTTTAGCTTCACCCTCCTGGTTCAAGCAATGTTCCTTCTCTATTAGGCCTGGTGGCTGTCGCATGGGGCTCCCCAAAGCAAAGGGTGGCCCTGAGCCAGTGGGTTGGAAGACAGGGTGTTCAGAAAAGAGGGCAGCCCGAGGGCGGTGAGCATGGGTCTGAGCTGTGGGTGCACTGCCTGTGTGCCGTGGGAGAGGCCAGCGGGTTTCGGGTGGGGAGGCCGCCGCAGCCCCCGGCACTAACTGTGCAGCTCCGGCTCCTTCCTCCTTCTTCCTCCCCTTTCCCCTCCAGCCCCTGTTCCAG